GACATAGTTCCCAGGAAACTCTAAATTCCATGTTGGGCATGCACCCTTGCGTTGTTGTTGCTGCTGCTTCACATTCTCCTTGGGCTGAAATTCTAGTAAGCTTTCAAGAAGAGATTGCTGCATCTGAGCTGTCCTTTCCTGAAGCTAGTCACGTAAGTAGCATGCGATCTGGTAGTCAGGCTTGCAACAAGAGATACCTTTACTTCAACAGCAAAGCAACCTGGTTTGGTAACCAGTCTGCAATCCCCTAAGGTAGCCAAATGGGGATTTTTCCAAAGAGGTTTCATACAGATTTGGAAAATTGTAAAAAACAGAGAATACACTTTCTTCAGTCATTTTTAGCAGCTGAAGCTGAAGAGAGGCTGTTTTGGGAGTTACTTAAAAAGGTACAAATAAGCTTTACTTTCAAAAATCAATCTATCAGCTTCCTGCAATTTGTTAATGGCTTTGTCTTCTAAAGGTAAAAGCACACCTAGGTTTTTAAGCTCCACTATACAAGTAGATGGTGGAGTACCCTGTGAACAACCTCTTCATGAGTGAGGACTTGCACCCTCTCTAACATTCTGTAGAAAAATATATTTAATTGTGTTAGCAATCTAAAGAGAAGGAGGTGGAGTTTGTGACCAGTGGGGGCTGATTCCCTAGATGTTACAGAAAAAAAATTATATACTGAGAACATGCTCAGACAAGCTCAAACAGAAGAAACAAAATCTGTTTAGGCAACAAAATCTTGAATTGAAAAGAAAATAAAAGTCAAACCCCAGAATTCAAAGTCTGGAGGTCCTGGGAGCAAACCAAGAGTGACATGGTTACAGTGCTGGTGTGCCATGGAGCATTGCTAATATAGCACAGTGCATATAGCACAGCGCTAATCAACACTTCTTGTGGGGAGAAAAAACCCAAAACCCCCCACACCCTCCAAAATCAATGAATAAAAAAAAAATTCAGCCTGCACTTCCCCAGGATTACTGGAATCAGTTTGTCCCCTCAGAAATACTCCTTCCTTTAAGGAGTATTTGATGAACGAAGTTAAGCTTGAGTGCTCCTGCAGCTCCTGTCAGGATCATGCTATGCACTGTGCAAACAGAGTAAGAGACAGTCTCTTCCCTCAGGGTTTTCCCTGCTCTTTGAAGGTAAAGTATGGTGATTTGGGTTAGCAAACAAATGAAGAGAAGAAACAGTTAGAGATGATGAGCACTGGATAGCTGTTCATGTGCCAGCAAGCTATATGGTAAAACTGATTAGCGGCTACTGAGGCTTTACTTCTTTCATTTGTCTGTAAAATCAGAAGCGACCATGATGGACACCTGGTTTGTCTTCCTTCTATACAAATTCCATTTCTCCCTGCTCCTGCAGTGAAAGGAACTATAGTTTCTTGTGATATTAATTATTGTTGCAGTTGTTAACCCCAAGAATGGGATTACTTTATTTATCCCTTCCTCAGAGGCTTTCTAGGCAAATCTCTTTTTAGACTGTTCAAATTTAAGCACTTGACACCAGTAAAGAGAAGGTTTAAAAACTCCTCCCAGCTTATACCTAACACTGAAAATATTTATGTCTCTAAATTCTTGTAGCACTACTTGTATCCAGTGATCATGAGAAGTTCAGTGGTGTCAAGCACCTGTATCAGCCTGCAGCTCTGCACAGTCCAAAATTATGTTACCCCTCTGTGCCACGTGGGTTATACAAAAAGACTTTTCAAGGAGTGTCCACTGGAAAGTGAAACCTCTGGCTTCATTTTTAATGAAGTACATCTCCATTGTTAAGAGTATACAAGAGATGGTCTAAGAGGCTGAAATCTCCTTCGAGGAAATTCAGGACAAGTGCTTCAGACATCCAAAGCTAAGCATGTGCTGAGATGGATAATGGGGAACTTTCATTCGCTTTTGTTGAAAAGTTTCAGTTTACATCCAGTATTTAAGGAGTCATTGAGTCAGAAGACAAAACCTGGGGAGAGAGCAACACTGCAGTACAATGACCATGCACCCCAGGGAGTGCATAGGAATCTCTTGTTCCATTTTTTTCAACTTTTTTTTTTTAAACTACCAGAGGATAGAGGTACATAGGAACCAAGAGGGATAAAAATCCCATTCTTCCCCATCTCACAGAGCTGTTAAGGTTATGTGCAATCTCTCTCACTTCTCCAGGTCATAAATCTGAAAGTGTGCCATTTAAAGTTGAAGACATCAATGCTGAGATTGCAGAAATGCTCTCATTTCTCAAATGGCTAACAATCTGGCACTAAGAGTCACTCCTGAGAAGTATCTGGGCCTGAATATAAATTTCTAGCCATGTCTTCTATCCTGCTGGAGCTCCCCAATTATTTAGTAGGTGTAAAAAGGACATATAGATGCATACTCTTCTGCTTTTAAAATAAAGACACACTTTCTTGCTTGGACTAGGCCATTGGCCTCTATTTGTAATATCAGGAAAGGGGTTTTTCTCCACCTTACCGAAATGTGTCTTAAATATATATTTTAAATAAATGTAAGGTTCTTGGACACCATGGCAATAAGCCTACATGAATGATTCACATGGAACAATACTATTAAGCACTGATGAAGAATAGCACCTCTTGGAAGGAGGAAGTTCTTTCCTGTAAGGGTGGTGAGGCACTGCAATGGGTTGCCCAGGGAAGTTGTGAATGCTCCATCCCCGACAGTGTTCAAGGCTAGGTTGGACAAAGCCTTGGGTGACATGGTTCAGTGTGAGGTGTCGCTGCCCATGGCAGGGAGGGTAGAACTAGATGGTCTTAAGGTCCTTTCCAACCCTAACTATTCTATGATTCTATAATCTCTATCAAATCAAAAGTGGAGATCAATCTATTATTATCCTGGCTAATCTTAGATTAGTACAATACAATAAGCATTGCACAACAAATACAGGATAAAACTTCCTTTAAAACAGTATGGAGTGTGGGTATATGTGCTGCTGTCTAGCCCTGTTGTCGTTGTAAAGAAATCTGAAGACCATGAGAGAATTCCTTCCCCTTTGCATTATTTTCCCCAGAGAGAGCAGGAGGCGAGTGAGTGGGTGCAGACAGCACAAGAGGAAATCAGCAGGATATTATCTGGGAGAGAGCTGAGGGCCTGGAATTAATTTCCCTCCTTGACATGGGTGAGACTAAATCTGTAGATAAAGGTACACAAGTTTTCCACAGACATTAAAAAAAGAAAATAACTGGGGAAGAGTTTGGGCAGTAGTAACTGTAGAAGAGTAAAGATGAATTTATTTAGTCTTAATTTTATGGCTGTTGGTTTTATATTTATGCCTGGTGTTTATAGAATTTAAGGCCAGAGGAGGCCCTCAAATTAATCTTTTGGGCCTTTTGCCCTATGTGCGATACTGGATTTTTCCCAATAATTCCTGCTTTAAACCTGCAACTGCTTTGAAGAAAGGACACAGGCTGACTGCCCTGTAAGTGCGCTGCTTTGCTGTTTCCAAAGCAGAGTCCTGGCACTTGTTATCTTAGTCCAGGAGAATGGAGTGCCAAATCTCCTGCTGGTTTTGTTCTATACTACTGTATTTTATGCCATCAGTGACATTCCAGGTGAAAGTGAACATGACTTTCTTCTTTTCAATGGCACCTGTTTTCAGACTGATGTGGCCTGGAGAAGCACAGGCTGTTTTTTCCTCACCTGTCCTGCAGATGAGTGGGCAGCCTTTCAAAAAACTAGGATCACACCATGCAAATAGGTTTCTCACAGCAGGATGGAAAACAGCATTTGAAAGTCAGTGTCTGTAGGCTGTTGTCACAGGTGCAGTAATATTTGCTCCAGCAATGTCAACCCTCACTGTGCAGAAGCCTGCTTTAGCCTGTGCTTCTGAATGGTTTTAAGCTATTACCACATGTCAAGCATATAACAGTTAACGAGTTGTTATAAGCACCACATGCTAAATCCATTCAGCTCTGACAGCTAGGGCAATAAAGGCTATACTTTGGAAGGGAGACTGATGCTGCCTTCTGGTCCTTGCAGCCCTTATTATCCAAAATATGCTTATGATAGAAGTATTACATATGCAATTACCAGAAAAAGCATGTCCACAAACTATTTTTTAAAAAACTTTACTTGATTTCTTTTTTATATTACAGGGTTGTGAACATAAGATGGTGCTTAGACTCTTCAGAAGGTAATTTATTATAGGAATTTGAATAGTCTCTTAAAGCTTTTGAAACAAATTTCTCCATGACTGCTATGGTTAGGATAATGTCCTGCAGAAATCAACACTCATGTTTTTCAGTGAGTGTTTATCCCCAAAGAACATAAGGATGATGAGGATAAATCCTTCAAAACAAAAGGGAAATCTACATAATTTTCATGCATCACTGAGTTTTCAATAGAAAATATACTTGAAGAATTTAGGAATCTTGGTAGCAAGAACCCTTCGGAAGGCAGCTATTTAACAGGCAGAATATGTACAACCATTTTTTTGTAGGCATATGGAAAACTTTCTTATATACTTTTTTTTTTTTATGTTATAAAATATTAAAATCTATAATATTTCATACGGTATGACTATTCCTTTCCAGAACATAAAGATTATGACTTTGGTTACCAGTGATATTTGAAATTTCAAGTATGTCTATTTACAATGCAGTTCCTTATTCTTTTGAAAAATCATATCAATCTCGGTTATTTTGGTAAAACAACCTCTTTTCCTTCAACAAAGACAGCTTTTACTTAAATTAGTGAGATGCTTTTATTCTTCTGTAGGAGGAATGAGGTTTTCTGTGTACATTTGTTGAAGCTAAAGATGAAAATTTCAAATCAGAATTACTTTGATTAAACTTTGTTTTTATCTTAATTCTAGGTATACCACAAGGTCACCAACAGTGGAACATTCAGACATAAAAGTATTTGAAAAGAAATATGAAATCTTCTGTCTTGTCTTCAGTTTTCATACTCGCTGCTACAGATTCAGAAGTCGCTGATTTATTTTTTACCCCAATACACAATGCCCAGTAAAAATAGTGGTTCAGGCCAGTTCTGCCTACACATTTAATTATAAATTTGAATTTTATATTCACCCAGATATCCCGCATTTGATTTTTTGCAAGGTTAAAAATTGTCTAATCTCTTTGTAGCTGAATGAAGTTTGGCAGTGTCAAGACTTAAGGTCTTACGGAAAAAGAAGTATGACAAAATTAGATATGAGTGGAGGTTTGATCTCCAGGCTGAAGATACAAGGTCATTTCTAATATGCATACTGAGACCCAGATAGTCAGTATTTTAGGGATTGAAAGAGGTGACTTGAGCCACCATAAAGTTGAAATACGCTGTATTTGTTAGCCTTTGCTTATTTGGATCTGACTGAAAAATAAATCTAGTTACACAAAATATATTATTGCAGAAAAAAATGGAGCATTTAAGATTTCTCAGAAGTTAATCCTAGATTTTATCTTTGAACATATGCTTCTCAATGTCCCGGTATTTCTGCCACTAACATATTCTTGCAAATAAGCAATACTGAACAAGAGCTTTCACCGTCAATAAAGAAAAACAAATACCTATTATTTTTCTATATCACTTGAAGGTACTTGCTTCAGTTGCTTCTTCAGTCACGTGTTTAGATCTCACCTGACATTTTCCATCAGTTCACCAGTTGCTTCTGTTAATCACTGAAATTGGATTTTAAATTTAAATTGCAGCTTAAATATATAATAATAGAATCATGGAATGGTTAGGGTTGGATTCACACTTATGTAGTAAAACAGCATTCAGATTCATGAAAGCCAGACTGATAATGTTTAGAAACTACACTTTCCAACCATGATCACTCCACAACTGAGGATACTGTAGTCTGCAGATGGTTCTCTTAATCCAGGATAAGTGGCATGTTGAGTTTCTTACGTTTCAGTTTATGTAAAGGGATCAGTCTCTGGCATCTGAAGGAAGGGGGAAGCCTGGATCCAAGTTGTTCTGTTTCTGGTTAGTTCTGCAAAATCAACAGAAGCCTTGTATTTTCCCATCAGAGAGGTGCAGCGACAGAACCACAGAGGTGACCTTTTCAAGTATTTTTCATTGCTCTCTCAGTGATGCTGATATTCCAGTTCTAACAGGAGCTGATAATTTGCAGCATTATGCAACACCTGGGTTTGAGGACTGGGAGGGGGTAAGGTGGAAGGAGAAGAAACTTTCAGAATATGCCCATGGCAAAATAAGCAAGATACACATTTTTACTCAATAAATACGAGTAAAAAAAAAAATCAAATCTGTTTGGGTGATTTCTGGAGAAAAATGGGTGCCAAAGGACCCGAGCTGTGTATTTGACTCAGGAAAGGGTGGAAAGAGTGCAGAAGGGTGGCAGAGGATGGGGAAGAGCAAGCAGGACAGCATTATACTGTCACCATAGTTTCTTTGCCTTACAAGGGCTACAGACATGGTGAAGTATCTTTGTGCCTGAGCATGTGCTCTGCTATCTTTCTGAGGGTAAAACTACATTACCCCCCTTCCTTGTTTCATTAGGAACCCTGAATAACCCTTTGGTTACTCAGTCATCTCCTCATGCCACCCGTTCCTGCGAACAACTCAGGACTCACCACCAGATTCTTTGAGATGATTTTAGTATGATATCATCACAACTCTTGTGGTATCTGATGTTTTCCTTTTAGACACAAATCCTGGGTCCCTGCCAATCTAAACTTTCAGCTAACGGGAAAATTCCCCTGTAGTTGCAGAAAAAAGCTTAAAAATGTAACCTCAGTAAACCTTGAAGGTTTCAAAACAAGCTGATAAAGACAATTCTGTTGCATGAATGGAAGAAAAAGAAAAGAATAAAAAATATTTTTAAACCAATCATTTCTGAGTGTTTGATTCATTATTTAGATTGGGTTTACTTGACAGTTCATTTTCTTTTAGTTTTTTTGAAGTCAAAGAGAATTTACATTTGAGAGTGTAACATGGTAATAGTACAATGTAATATATACCATATATTAAATACAATATATATTTTTGTAAGACTACCATACATTTAAAAATAAAAACAATATAATACATTTAAAAATAAAAACCTCTCTCATGATGTTTCTAAATAGAGGACTGCAAGTGTGCTGTTGCATAAGTAGCTTTGCTGTCAGAATTGCCCAGCAAAGCAGGTAAGAAAGTCCTGTTGTGCAGAGGTTTTCAAAGACCTCATGAGTGACATGAGTGTTTTAAGAAAAACACTCTCACACTGTCCTGCTCACAAGAAGCTATCAATCAAGTGTGTTTGCAAGAAGAACTTCATGGTTTATGTGAAGCAGTAGAGAATGCTGTTCTTAGAGACTATGTCTGTAAGACTAATAGAAAATTCACCTCAGCAGGAGAAAAACTGCTTCGATTTACTCTAGGAGCAAGGAAAACACTTCTAGAACTCTGATTGCTGTTAGTGAGATGGCTTGAGCTTTTGTATGTTACAAAGTGCTCCCTTGGGAAGCCAGGTGAGATCATTCACACATACAGACACAAAACTGCCTGGCTTTCCTGTCCTCCATGACCTGGAGCAATTAAATAACTGGCCTTCTGTTTTCTGCCTTCTGGAAAACATCTGTAACCTTGTCTCCCGGTACACATTTCTAACCTGTACTATATATTCACTAGTTATTGCAGCAATTGTCAACTTCCTCAAACATCACATGGCTGTGAGGAATTCACCTGTTCTTATACGAGAGCCAGCTGTCACAGACAATATCCAAACGAGTATTTGTATGCCAGCTTCACAACATTCATTTTTCCTGCGTCCTTTCCCTTAAAAATTCAGGACATGTGATACCTGGAAAGGCCTAAGCAGGCTATAAGGGATCATTTCTTTTCCATGCTGGCTTTAAATATTGTGCTGGCATTTCCCTAAATAAATAAATAAAATTGCATGTGTCAAAGTTAGTGTTCATTTCAATTGATATTAGTGAGTAATATGAGAGAAAAGTAATTTATATTTTAGTTCCAAAGATTATTTTGGACTGTAAAAAGAACAAGGCTCTGTATCTTTAAGATAAGTTCTTGATTGAGGAATTGTTCATTCTTTCTGTGGAAAAAGAACACTGATTATGAAATTAATGCCATCTTATGCAACCCCGTCAAGATCACTGACTTATGCCTTAATAAAGGTTTCTTTGTTTTTTTGTAAAAAGTGAGTTTCCTTATCCAGTGGTCAGAGCTGGAAATCTGTTCCTCACCAGAAATGTCAGTCCTCAAACCTAACATTTTCTCTGGAAGAAAGCTGGCTGGATACTGAGCCTCCTTAAACTTTGGATAAAGGGACCTCAAGGTCAGAGCCTGTAGGGAGAAAGGTAGGACCCGGCAGGAACAGCCCCTCAGGGAGTTACTGTTTCCTTGGCATTTGTTGCAGTACAGCAGTACAGGCTCTGCTAAGCAGCTGGTGAGACTGGAACATGTCTCAGTGAGAGTTAAACTTGGGTGCAATTTCAAAACCTTGCCGTGATGACTTTGGGCAGAAGGAAACGATACCTTGAGGTGCCATAGCATGCCTGCTCACACACATTCTGGAAGTTGGTGTCTGATTCTGAGGAGACCTGAATATAACATTTCACACAGGAATGCGCTGCTCTTTTTATCTTCCTCCTTGCTGGCTGTGCTGTCTTCAGGCTAGCCTCAGTCTTTAGTGAAATACTGCAGCCTACCAGCTCTCAGCGTGTGTTTAAAAGAGAGGCTATTTCTTCATTATTTGAATAGGTAATTGTGCTTTTCTGTAATCAAAGCTAATAGAAGCAGCACTCTGTTAGGAGAAAGAAAAATGGCCTTGTAAGATAGAGAGGCAATTACTGGCAGATTTTTAAGAGTTCAAGATTCCCTAAACATATGCATCCTCAACAATAATCCACCCTCCTCTTCCTTTGGTTGCCTTGGGTACTTTGAATTCCCTTCTAACTGAGAGGATCTGGAGGAGGACAGATCTGCAGCACCTTGTAGATGGATCATAAAAATTTTGCAGACTGTGAATCTTCTCATTCTGCAATTGGTCACAGGAGACACTTCTTGCATTTTTGACAATCCACTACTTCATTTTCTGACAAATTATTGTCAGAGATGGTTGCTAATTTATTAGTAAATACTCTACATGTGTGTATGTGTGTGTTTGTGTCTCAAAGACGTATATTTGCTGTACATATGTACAGAAATTCCCATTTTGTCATAATCTCAGGGTATAATAGTATTTTGGCTCTGATATTACCCTAAAGCCTTAATATGTCCATTTCAGACGGGAATGTCAAGCCTTTGTGAGATGGATTCCTAGGAGGCTGGTCATCTGTAGGCCAAAAAATCTAATGTCAGAATAAATAAAGCTGTTCCCAAACCTCCACAATCACGGTTGCATGTGCCATTAGTGTTTCAGCCAAGGTGCAGATACTCTGGTTTACCATTTAGCTCTTTCCAAGGACATTCATTTTTAAAAGTAATTAGACATAAGCTTCAGGAAAACTCTTTTAACTTTACTTTTTGCTTAAGTGATAAAATATAGCAACCAACTTGAATGTTACTAGCCAACTCCTTGGCTAGTCTTAGCTTACTGACATTTAGCATATTGTCCTCTCTCATTAAGAACTTCTAGCATCACTCTTCAATTTGTAGCCATCAGGAAAACATTCAGTAAATTGAGCCATTCCTGTCCTTTTAACATCCCAATTTTTCTGTCGGTGTCTGCTCCTCACTTGTTTTTTCCTGTTATAAACAAGTTTTCCTATCTAGAAGCTATCTGTTGTGTACACTTTTATAGAGGAGAAAAGCTTTGCTGTAGCCATGCTTCTCTGGGTTTCAGTGCAGTGTGAAACATATTGAGGAACCATCAAGAGAGACAAGACCCATTCAAGCACTTAGAAAGAAGCCTAAGGGCTAACAAAAAGAGCTTCTAATGTCAGAGAAATCAGTCCTGGGCCTGTTCTTCAAGTCTTCACAGTTTTTTATATGCCAGCCTATTACACTTACATGTTGGTAGCTGGATGATGGCCAAAAGCATGGGGGGCCATGAGAGCAGATAGACTGTCATATTGTGAGGTGATCGACTTATTTATGTTCTGCCAGTGACTCACTAGTTTCAGAAGATAGTTTCTCTCTTAGATAACGAATAGGTCAGATATGAATCAGGAAAAAGCATTAAAAGCATCATCTTTTAGCAAAAAGCTTTATATTTCATTTGCAATCTGTATTAGAAATGTTTACTTTGGAAAGATGAGGGATAGTGATGCTTGAGCAGACTCCTGGTGCCTGTTGACTTGCCTTCAGCTGACTGAAGCTCAGTGTTATAAATATATATCCATGTGTATAAATAGAGATGTATATAGATGATCTAATCTATTACATAAATGTAGTCTAATAGAACTATTCCTGTTTTTAAAAGGGACTAAAAATTACTTACCTTAAATTCTGTCTCTCCCTTTATTTTCCTCTGCTTGACTTTCCTTTTATCTGTGCTACAGGACTCGGAAGTACAACAGATCCTGGCTGCACCAGTTCCTTAGGAACTTATGGTCATAACCTGTAAAATCTTTATCATGTCTACAAGAAGAATGATCTAACAGGAGAGGCTCTGTAGACCGAAAAAGACTGTGTAAGGACCTTTGTCTGCACTATAATCACTTTCCTCTAGACAAATTTAGTTTGACCCCATGAGCTGATTGCTAATTAGCAGCTAAAATTTATTGTGATCCCAAAGTGCTTCTTCCAGTTCAGTTTTACCTAAAGGGGACAGAGTTCATGTCTCCCGAGACCTCTGTGATATGCAAACCAAGGTGCAGTGAGTAAGAACAATTGCAAAATTCCCTTGGAAATCATTTTCCTGAGCCAAACTAAGACTATCATGTGAATGTACTCTTAAACACCTGAGCGTAATACAAGTGTTTGGCCTCTACAATGATATACACAACTCTGCTTTGGGTGTCTAGGGGTATCAAGAGATCATCTGCTCTGCTTTCTTCCCTTAATGTAGGATTAACCGTATTTTTCTTCTGTCATTTTTCAGCTTGCTTGTAAAGACCTTCAAAAATGGGGACTCTATCACCTCCCATGTAATATATTCTAGTTTGTTCACTCTTGGATATTGCTTCACTTTACAAACCCTTCTAATAAAGATTAATCTGCATCTTCCTTCATGTTGTTAAGTAAGTTCACTGTTTCTCATCCCATCTGCCACAGACACAAGCAGATTGTTTTGTTCATTTTAGTAATAACTGTTAGCATCCTTGAAGACACATTGCCTGAAGAGACTTTTATTTGTATATATATGCATACATATACAGGTGTGTATAAATTATATATAAAGATCAAACAATGAACATAAAATTTGTGAACACTCACATCCATCCAGTAAACAGGCAAATATGTGGAATATGGGAATTATTTCATTGCTTGATAATTATGTCTCCTACATTTCAGCTATCTATCAATCATCAGCAAGGGTCTGTGATTCCTTGCTGTGTTCCTAAGAAACTGTTCTTAATTTTGGATACCATTTTTTAATAAGTTTTCTGTTGAGAAACATATTTTTTTGAAAAAAATCCAAAACCAACCAACCCCCCCCCCCAAAAAAAAAACCTAAAAGCCAAAAAAAAAGAAAACTAAAACACACTCAATTTTTGTATTTTTGGCAGGTTTAGGTTTTTTGTTTGTGAGTGGGGTTTTTTTGTTGGTTGGTTGGTTGGTTTGTTTTTTAATCTGATCTAGCCTTATTAGATATGATAAACAGAATGGCTTCTCAGGAGGAAGAGTGGCAACCTAACTAACTTTGTTTTCAAGTTTCTCCATGGCAGTGCTGGGTAATACTGGGTTTCTAAACATCCTGATCTTTCTAGTGTATTACTCAGAAAATTGCACCACCTGCAGCAACATAGATTGGTGTAGACCGACACTGTGCTGGTTTATATGAAAGTAAATCTTGGCATCATTTGTGTGTTTCAGTGGTTGACACAAAACTTGAAGCTGCTGGTGGGATCCATGGGAACAAATGAGCAGAGAACTTGGTGTTTGGACTCTAGCTCTTTGGTTCCTTTACTTTTTATGCATGAAACAAAAAGAGGTTTGATGTTGTTTTTAATACTTTAGGCTGTGGGTTATTAAAATTATTTTTTAATTTACTAAAAGATGATTCAATAGGTCAGTTTATTATTGACCAGATTTAGTATTCTATATTGTTCCTCTAATGGCTCTTAATGCAATTAATTAATTTGTTCTGCTCTCTGCCAGGAAATGAAGACAAGGGGTGAAAAATATTCTACTTGAAATTTGACTAATTAAAGGGAAATAATTTAGTGAGGGTTTTTTTTTCTCATAGTTTATTATCGGGCAAGGAGGGGAAGGCAATCCAAATAATGTCTAGCATATAAGGCTTTACTGAAGGGTTTAGTTTCATTTATAATCCCTGTATTTTTTCTATGCTATTATATGTAACCAGTCCAACTATAGCAATTTCCCAACTGACTTCATTTTTATTTAACTGAATTGCAGACAATGCCATCTCAGAACGAATATGAATTTTGTTTAATACCATGACTTACAGAGTTAAGCCGCTTCACTGATGGCTAAATAACTGGCTAAACCTGCATTATAATTCTGTGCCAAGTGATAACATTAATAAGAGGAAACACAGTAAGTTTGCAGCTGATAATAATTACAGCGGCTAGGAGACCAAGTGTTTCCTTATAGCATTGCTGTTACAAATCTAATACTCTTTCAACCTCCCACATGGAAGTAAACATAATGGCATGAGAGACTGTTGTTTTGTGTTGCTCTGTTATACTGTGAGATTTCAATTTCTGGTATGAAGAAACCAATTAAGGTAGAAAGGCAAATTCAAGTTCAGAAATAAAAAAAAATTATTAGATTATATAATAAGAGTATATACTTCACCTCCTCTGGCAAGGTATTACTGTCAGAAACAAAACTGTCTGGGTGTTTTACAGAGTGATTATTAGAATAAACATAGTTATAAACATGAAAGTAACTAGTTCAGGATTGACTAATAGTGATTATTTTACTTTAGTGTTGTTGTATACATTTTAATTCATTATAACTTCAGCTGCTGCGTCTTACCAGTTTCATTAGAACTGCTGGACTCAATTCTGCTATGAATGGACTCCTGAATTATGATATACCTTTAGAAATCTTTCATAATTTAAATCACTTTGCCTTCACTAGCATCCCTTCAACAATCTGCATGCTGAAATGTTGCATATACCTATGGATGTAGCAATCTTCATTTAACAATAAAGTTTTTTGGTTTGGTTTTGGTCACGTGAAAAATAAGAGAATTTGACTGACTTCTGAAGCATAGAGTCTCCTTTCTGTATCAAAATCTCAAATGATATGTCCCTTTATTTCTCCGTTGGATATAAAAAATAATCTGGGTATCCCTGGTATAGAACCATAAATTTTCATATACTAAAAGGTCATATACTACACCTTTACCAATTTTTAAGCTCCACATGAAGTCACATGTTGCTATTTCTAGTAATTTGTTTTCCAATCAAGTTCAGAAATATGAAACTGAACCAAAAAATCCAAACCCTTTTTGGCTGGACAGGTGCTGCTTCTGAGAACACAGTCAGGGAAACTAATTGCTATCCTATGTTTGAATCCTCTTTTATATCAGACATTAAAATGAGTTTGATAAAATCATCAGAAAGCCTGAAATATTCATAGCAGGTTCAGTTTTGTTGTGCCCTCCTTTGAAAATCCACTGTTCCTTAGCATCCCTGCTTTAGTGGAGACAGGTCCAAAGTGTGATTCCTCATGCACTGTCTGTCTAGAGGACCTTACCCATAGAATTATAAAGGTAATTCAAGGAAAGCTAGTAATGCAAACTGTCTTTTGTTGGCAAAAGAACAATATGTATCCAATTTCCTTTTTCTAGCATGGATTATCTGCCATTTTTTTAAACCTTCAACCAGTAGATACCTCCAAAGGAGGCGATGATGGAGGCAAGATGACATGCAAGTTTCATGAGCGGACACTCCTTAATTCAGAGAAGAAAAAAACTAACCTACCAGACCAGATTCTGTCCTTTGACTAAAAGCAAGTCCATGAGCTCAGCCTAAATAGTGAGGAGCAGAAAGATTTTTCCCATCCCAATTACTGCTTCTTGGTTTAGTCAACAGCACTGTATGGTACTAGTGTCTCATCCACCTGTTCTTTCTGACTTTGGGAGATGGAATAATTTATATGCATGGAGGAAGTTTTGACTGCATGCTAATTGTGGCCTGACAGACTTTGGTCGTTTCTGCTGAGCAGCCCATGGTGTTTTAAATGTCAAAAAGTTCCATATAATTTTCAGTATTAAATACTGAATTTTAAAAATGTAACAGAAGATATGATTAAATATGGTACGTAGAAGCAAGTGAGATTGGAATGGAAACATGAGGAAAATAACATCAGGGAGTCATCAAAGTTAGAGATGGGGAAAAATGATTAGGTCTTTTTCTCAGCAGGGTGCAGCACGAGACCCTGTCACAAAGCCTAATCAGTGCAGGGCGAGACTGCACACAGACTTTAACAGATTCACATCAGGTTCTCGTGTGGACTGGTCTACCTTTTAAAGAGCAGAAACAGCAATGTGCATAGGAGTAGATCTTCAGCATGTTTCCCAATACAGATATCAGTGTCAGCCCACAAATACTTGCTTAATCAATGATTCAGTTTGCGTACCATATCTGCTTGACTCACTGCTGAAGGTCATCTGCTAGTGCAATGCAGGAGCAAAAAGGGAGAGGACTTTTTATTTGGAAGTAGAAGAAAAATCACTTGGGGCTGAGGTGGTAACTATCACTTTTGGTGGGTCTGACCTGACTCACTCTAGTTTTGAGACACTACTTAAGACATATTTTATTGATCTAGCAAAGAATATTCTGCTTTTAAAATGTGACTTTGCTGGCTACATGAACAAGTGAATGCTTTACTAGTGAGGATATGGATTTCTAGGGTTTATAAGAAGTATTAGCTGCTAAGTGAAAACAGCTTTGAGTAAATTCAAGGCAATTTGAAGGAATTTATTAACCTTTCCAGATATGTTCCTACAAAATGGAAGTGGGGTTTGCTACTACACATTTACCACAGGTATGTGTAGGCTTACATGAACAGGATGGATAAACATCCAAATACTGTACCTTAGTTTGTTTCACATGTGTATAGTGCAGCCTAAGTCTGATTGAAAGACCAGGGACATAAATTTCAAGATTACTTTTGAAAATTTGATTAGTCTCCATATCACATTAGGAAGTTCTGTCTCACCCCCTACTTTTTGAAACTGAAAATAATTAACAGCGGAAAGATACCAAGAGGTGGGGCTACCTATCACCTAAGCCCAGACTGATACAGCTCAGAAATGCAAACACCTATTCTATCATGGAATTATTTCCTGAAATCCTGTGGCTGAGGTCATGCAGGAAACACAACATTTCTGAACAATATAGTGCTCTGGTATTATTTATCTAATAAATTTATCTGGGAATTTATCTATTTCTTTCTCAATAACATTTGTACCTAGAAGTATGTAACTTGGTGTTTGTGCAAGGCGGCTACACCCAGGTAAGAAAGAAACAAAAAAAGAGCAAGGTGAAATGAAGATGCAGCATATTTTCTCATTACCCATATTTTGCAAGAAAATAAATCTAACCTTTGAAGCGTTTTCCTGGATTGTGCTACTGACCTCTAAGAGACAAAACAACATCCTTTTCCCTTTTGTCATGACTGTTCAGTCTTCTACCCAAACAGAGGTAGTGTTGCCACTCTGATAATATACATGCTAGGCCACGTCCAGGCAGCTGTCACCAGTCTGAAAACTAACACAGACCTAATTAACAGCCTAATGGGTTTTCCACTCTTTTACTCTCTGAGTGACAGTTTAATAAGGAGCTCACAGCGACCGTATAAATCAGAACCAACCCTCATCTTAACAAGATACAGCTAAAGTGTTCCAAAAATTAATTCTAAGGATTTCAGTATGTAATATTTCCAGTGGATAAACATTATCATTTGTTTATGCTAACTTATTTTATTATCTATATTTGACTATCATGCCGTGGTTGTGTGCTGGTTTAAGAAAGATGCATGTATTTGCGAAAAGAATGTTAAGTGGAAAGAGTTATAACTCTACAGTTTATAAAATTGTCTAATAACAGGAAAATATTCCACAAAAAGAGTTTTGCACTGCAGACAGCTATAGAATCGAAAGCCTTTAGACCATCAGTAATCCTCAATTTGGCCTCAATTTAGTACTTAATATGTAAATTTAATATCTGTAAAACATCTCCATTGGAATTAATTGGATCCCTGTGCTTCAAATGAAATAACTTGAAAGTAAGCCACTGAGCACATGCTTGTTGACTTTTAATAAGGTCCATTTATGCTTCTGGGCAAATTAGGAACTGATCCAATAAAGCAATTGTGAGCATACTTTGAAGTAGAGCAGGTGTTTAAAAACCTCATTGAATCTGGATTTTAAGGACACACAGGATTAAAAATTATAGTTTGCTTTTAATGCAGATTGAAATGATAATTCCTCAGTACTTTAATTCCAGGATAGAAAAACACCACACTTTTCTCAGGCCTTTGAATCCTTGTTATGTTTTCTTTTTGTTTGTCTTTAATGGATATGATGCTGAAATGTGGTTTGATATGAAACATGAGCCAGAGTAAATCAGTCTGTCTAGTTCCCATTCCAAGACCTCTAAAGTAATTGAAAAATGTGACCAAAAGGATGTATGGTAAGGTAGGAGAAAACTTAAATACTTTTTAAAATTAAGATCTGAACAGGATTTATTAAGATTAATAAACTCCTGTTTTTTATGAAGATGTCTCTGCTTATATATGGCTAAGATAGTTTTCTCTTTATTTCCATAACAGGGAATAACAGGGAATACTTGAAGTATTTTTGAGGTTGCTGCCGTCCCTAAATTGTTTTCATGGATTTGCCCGTTGTGCACAGAAGTATTTAAATCTACAGATTATAGGCAGTTTAGCTGTCACTTGTGGTTCTAGAAATCAAAGAAACACCTTTTATCTGTTGCTATTTAGCCTCCTTAAGATACAAAATCACCCTCTGAGTTCAATACTCAGGTAGTGCAAGCATGCACACTTATGCATACCCACAGAAGTTCATTGTGCTGAACAAGTAGAGACAAAATGGCAATACAGGGAAAGCAAAGGAATTGAGTAGAATTAAATTTATTGTGAAAGCATATGAGAATTACATGGGGGATTATTATAATTATTATTATAATTATCTTTATAGATGAATGCAGAGTGTCTCAGAAGATTGAATCCTCAGCTATAGCTGATACTCATAACTGGCACTAAAATACAAATAAAGAGAAACTGAAATATAAGAGATTAAAGTGGCAAAGTCTCACAAAATACAGAATTAGCCACTTAATATTCTTGATCACAAATATTTGTTGCAATTGTAAGCCAGAGTACGCAATGTCATTCTGACCCTTTAAAACCCTTAAATGAGCAATCATCAGTAGAAATATTTAATAACAGAAACAACTCATGAAAAATGGACACAGACAGACACTGAGTGCCCTGCAAATTCTTCCAATTAGTAACAAAACTGTAGGGCATTTATAAGGGAGAAACTCTACATATTATTTCAACCAAGAGCAAAGAGCTCTGAGGCCATCAACTTGAAAGATATCTTGGGTATGAGTGAACATGACATTGTAATTTCATGACCTTTCAAACAGAGTGCACAAATACGGGCAGAAGTGAAAACCATGGTTTTCAGAAAGTCAGACTTCAATGAAATCAGAGAATTGGAAGGAAAGTTCGTTTCAAATGGCTTCTCTGAGGAGAAGGTGAAAAGAGGACTGAGAAACTGTAATTATGATGAAATATCTAGTTGACATTTTAAGCACAGAAAAGAACTGCATAGAAAATGGACATCAGGTCAAATTACTGAGGATGGGTGCAAACACACAGCACTGCAATTAAAGTTTGGGTTAGAAAAACAGAGTGACAAAAGGAAACTGATAGAGGAAATGAGCTGCAATAGTAAGGCACTTATTAGTAAGTATTTCAGAGGTAAGGTGAAAACAAGAGAGGAGGTTAGTTTACCCCTGCAGAGATTGAAGATGATTGACATATGATGCTGAAAATTCCTAATCATTTAATGACTTTCTTCGCTCTCTCTAAAAAGCTCTTTGCTATCAGATATTATAATAACTAAGATCAGGCATGAAAGATCAAGAATTCAGCCTGGTATAGCAAGAAACAAATTGATACTTGAGTTAATCAGATGTTTTCAAACTGCCTTCATCTGATGACATTTATTTTTTTTTCCTAGAGCATTGAAAGTATTAATTGAAAGAAGCTCAATGTTAGGCTTTCTCTGAGAAGTTGTGACAGATGGATATGAAAAAAAAAAGCAAAAGGCAGAAGTGGTGCATTGCTTTATAAAGGAGATGCCAGAAAACTGCAGAAATCCTAACTTCTGCTTCTGAAAAACACATGGAGCCAATATCTGTGAACACACTGAGCAAAACAAAGGGATGAATGATCGCCAACATTTGTGTTAGGAGTTAATCATGCCAGACCAGCTTAATTTCCTCCTACCCAAGGTAAAGGCCTTATGGATGGAGGAGAAATAGCAGATGTCATGTCACAGTTGCAGTACTGTTTTCAACAAGGGCTCTTGTACCTTTTCTAGAAGGAAACTGGAAAAACACAGTTTAGGTGAAAATGCCACAGGTAAATGGGAAGTTGAGCTGTTTCCACTATCCAAAGAGTGCTCATTAAGTATGAGTCGTGGTTTAAGCCCAGTGGGCCACGCAGCCCCCTGCCCTTTCTCCCTTTCTCCCCCCCGCCCCTTCACTCTCGGAGGGATGGGGAGGAGAATTTAAAGAATGTAACTCCCATGGGTTGAGATAAGAACAGTCCAGTAACTAAGGTATAATACAAATCACTGCTGCTGCCACCAGTAATAGTAATGATAAGGGAAATAACAAGGGAAGAGAATACAACCACTCACCACCCACAGACCAATACCCAGCCCAACCCAAGCAGTGATCTCCCCTTCCGAGCAACTGCCCCCAGTTTTACATCCTGCACATGACGTGCTGTGGTATGGAATACCTCTTGGCTAGTTTGGGTCAGGTGTCCTGTCTCTGCTTCCTCCCAGCTTCCCCTCCTCCCTGGCAGAGTATGAGACTCAGAAAGTCCTTGGTCAGAGTAAACATCACTGAGTAGCAACTAAAAACATCGGTATTATCAGCGCTGTTCCCAGGCCAAAAGTCAAAACCACAGCACTGCACCAGCTACTAAGAAGGAGAAAAGTGACTGCTACTGCTGGACACAGGACAGTATGAAGGGTAACCAAAGTGTGAAGATTGTAATTATTCTCATGATATTCAAAGAAAAAAAAAATCATGCTGTTTTTCTAGGGCAAGTTATTGTACATAGACAGGAATAAGCAAGCTAAGTCGTTGGCTGAAAAAGACCTGAATCACAAAGAGAACAAGGATGAATGTACTTATGCTGTTGAAAAAAAAAAAAAGCCAAAAAAAAAATCCATGCAGAAAAATTATGACTACAGCATTTGAAGCAGATTTTCTCTAGTGTCTGCATTACTGTGATAAGATCTTAGCTGTAATATTACAGCCATCCCTGCATACCACAGCAAAAAAAGTCTTTATTCAAATGGATATTGTTTGGGATAAGTACAGATGCTGAAAACCTGACCTGCGGATAAGTATCAAAAATACTGGATTTGTTTAACCTGAAGAAGACAAAAATGAAGTGAGGTGTACATTCACTTCAAGCAGGTAAAAGAAAAAAAGACTCAAAGTAAGAATATGACATTCTGGTTTTTTTTGTTTTTGTTTTTTTTTTTTGTCTATGAAAGACTATATTAAAATATTTGGCTTAATTTGCAGACGTTTTTCATGCTTTACAAATGATAATGAATGCAGGAATACTCTGACTAAAGTGGTTATTGCAGTATCTGTCACTGGAGGTCAGATAAACTTCTCCATCAGTGGATAAACTAGGTGTGGGAGTCTTCTTGTCTGGCTTTAGATGTACGTCTGAGCTATTTACCTCCCACACTGTACATTCAACAAAATTAAATGGACAAACTAAATGACCAGTTAATCTGGTCTGTGGTAGACATTTACTGTGGGATGAGATTAATTTATCTCTGGGACTGTTCTAACACTTAGGAAGTTATAGACAGGGAGACAGACGCAGACATCTGTACTCCAAATACCTAAAGTGGGGAATTCACCTCCTCAAGGCACTACCAGGCTTGTCAGGTTGAATGGCTCTGGTACACCTACCAAGCAAGTCCACACAAGTACTAGTGATCTTAATGAAGTATTAATATTATAGGTCTGGTACCAGGCATACTGTGGTTCTATTTCATAGTTTAATGTAAAATCCCAGCATGGATCATCACTGCAGCAGCAAGGGGAGAACACAGTGCCTTTGCTCAGCTTTTGCTCCAATGTTCAGTCCAAGTTTTGAACTTGGTGTAGTGATTACACATATATTACTGAGCCCACAATAAATCAAAATCCTACACATAAAAGGAGATTCAGAAATGCAGTGAACATCTAAAATTTAGTTTTTTGTCTGTCTGACTGTCTTTTTGGTTCACTTAGGGCTTAATAGGGATTCCTTTTATATCAAAGAAGATTCAGATAAAAACGTCACATTTGTGTCTTTTACAGTTTTCTACAAACAATAAAATTAGACTGACTTTCAGTTTTATGGCTGTAGTTCAGTAATTCTGAAATTTGTCAATGTTCTTACATTTTGTCTTTTTAGATTACTATAGTTCGATTGGACATACATGTATTGGATTGGACTGCTGAGGTGAGTAGCTGAATTGCTGAGGTGAGTAGCTCGAGAGAGGACGCCTTCAACACCGGAACGAGGGGGAGATCAGCATCAGGAGCCTCAACTCGGAGCGGGGAGAGCCACCGAGGGAGCCTCAAGTCCTCGACAGGACCTGCCCAGGAGCCGGCGGCTCAGCTGACGAGAGCGAGCAGCTGACTCACACGGGGCGGAGCCTGAAGCAGCGGCACCAGCCTTGAGTGGGTGAAAACCTGCTCAGGGCACGCTAGCGACCGGGAGTGCGGTGAGGCAGTTTGCGCGGGGTGGTGAGCACCCATCGTATGAACAGGGCCCGGTCTGGGAGCTCTGCTCTGGCTGCCCCGGCGGTGGCCAGCGTAGGCACCCAGACAGAGCCGATGAGAGGGGAGGCTGCAGTGCAGAGCTCGGGGTGTAGAGAGGAGAGTGCCTGCACTGGTCTGGTGAGGGGAGGGTGCACAATGGGCAGGGCTGCACTCGGTGCTCCCTGGTGGAGGTCCTCCTGCAGCAGGGGCTGAGCTGGGGGATGCTGTTAATAGGCTGCAAGATGTCAGGGAAGCTGAGAGGAAGCAGGAATGCTTGCTCCAGGCCCAAACTGTGCAGGGGCCTCAAGCGTCCCCTGTAGTTCTTGGAGGAAAGAAAGAGGCCACTAACCCTGGAAGCTGGGAAACAGCAACAACCACAAAAAAAACAAACAAACAAAAACCAACAGAAAAAGGAGGAAGAGGGCAATTAAAAGCAAGGGGCTTCCTCCTAAATCTGTTGTCCCCACCCAGAACCGCTTTGCTGTCCTGCAGGGGGCTAATGAGGAAACGCACACCGGAAACAAACGGCTGGTGCCCTGGTAAAGAAGATCTCTACTGGTGCTGCCAGAAAAAAGCGGCGGGTCGTAATAGTAGGGGACTCTACTTTTGAAAGGCACAGAGGCACCCATCTGTTGTCTTGACCCAGTCTCAAGGGAGGTGTGTTGCCTACCAGGGGCATGGATCAGGGATGTTGCAGAGAAGCTGCCTGCTCTAGTAAGTCCCACAAACTATTACCCACTTCTACTGATCCATGTGGGTGCTAGGGATATAGACAGCAGTAGCCTGGAGAACATATAGAAGGACTACAGAGCCCTGGGAGAGGTGGTTAGGGGCTCTGGAGCTCAGATTGTATTTTCATCAATTCTCCAGGATACAGGGGAGGACCCCAAAAAGGCTAGGAGGATTGGCCAGGTTAATAAATGGTTAGAAGGGTGGTGTCAGTCAGGGGTTTGGGTGTCTTAACAAGGGACTCAAGTTTTTAGGGCAGGTCTAATGGGGACTGGTGGAACTGGTCTGATAGGGGGAAAAGCAGTTGTGGTAGGAGGCTTGCCAGGCTGGTCAAGGAGGCTTTAAACTAGATGTGTTGGGGGAGGGGGGCACCATTCCATCCCAACACACCCAGCCAGTTGCCAGCACCTATATTAAATGCTTGGAGCAATGTAGAGATAGTCCAGCCGCTCCAGCCAATGAGCCGGCTTCATTTGGAGCTTGGCTCAGATGCCTCTATACAAACACCCGTAGCACGGGGAACAAACAAGAGGAGTTAGAGATGTGTGCACATCTACGGGGGTATGATATAATAGGCATCACAGAAACATGGTGGGATGGCTCCTATGACTGGAGTGTTGGAATGGAAGGTTAGAGGCTCTTTAGAAAAGACAGGCCTGGCAAGCAGGGAGGGGGAGTTGCCCTTTATGTTAGGGATAGGCTGGAGAGTATGGAACTCTGCCTGGGGACCCGTGAGCAGTCCACAGAGAGTCTGTGGGTCAGGGTTAAAGGGAATATAGCTATGGGAGACATTACTGTGGGGATCTGTTACAGATGGCCTGATCAAGAGGAATCTGCAGATGAAGAACTGTCATGGTTTAAACCCAGTCAGGTAACTTACTCACTCACTCCCCCTCTTCTTTCCCTCCCCCTACTCCCAGAGGGACGGAGAGGAGAATCGAAAAGAATGCAACTCCCAGGGGTTGAGATAAGAACAGTTTAGTAACTAAGGTATAACACAAATCACTACTGCTACCACCAGTAATAATAATGATAAAGGAAATAACAAGGGAAGAGAATACATCACCTCACCACCAGCCAACCGATAACTCGCCCCCCCAGCCCGACCAAGCTCTGACCGATACCTCCTCCAACCCCGCAGTCTCCCTGCCCTTCCAGCTAACTCCCAGTTACATCCTGGGCATGACATGCCGTGGTATGGAATACCTCTTTGGCTAGCTTGGGTCAGGTGTCCTGTCTCTGCTTCCTCCTGGCTTCCCCTCCTCCCTGGCAGAGCATGAGGCTCACAAAGTCCTTGGCCAAACCAAAACATCGTTATCAGCTCTGTTCCCAGGCCGAATGTCAAAACACTGCACTGCACCAGCTACCAAGGAGAAGAAAAATGACTGCTACTGCTGAACCCAGGACATTATCCACCCCTTACTCCATACCATTCACGTCATACTCAGATCCTACATTTTCAATACACCATCGCTCTCCCACATATATACATCCATATACACACAGACCAAGAGAAAAAGATCATTTTCTTAATGCATGGACCAATCCCTATAATGCTGCTGCGTCCATCTGGTCCATGATGTCAGGCTCCATCTCTTGTAACAGTCAAAACAGGAAAGACTGTGTGCAGTGTTCACACTAGTGAATAACTAGGGCAATAGTGTCCATTGTTAAGTCCACCCTTCGATCATGAGTCCATCTCTATGTTGCATCTCTGCTCTGATGGCCTGAAGTGCCATGGGCCCACCAGGCTTAAAATAATTCACTGTCCCCTTAAGCAGTTTCTGCAGCTTGTTGCTG